TTGGTAACTGGCGGTACAAGCGGAAAGGGGTTGATTCTACGCGAAAAAAAGTCAAAAATATAGAATAAAATTTTGTTTTAAATTTTTCCATCGAGACAACGATCTACAGTGAGATCCGTTATAACGAGACGCGATAAAGAGCACGCGTACCGAGCGAAGATTCAAAGTCGATTTTCTCGAAAACAAAGCCTCGAACGAAAAATCTTTTCCTGTATAACTTACAACGGATATTATTTTATCGAAATCGTGGACAATATTATGTTACCATTTAACAGGTAGCAGCAACTTCTCTCGTGAATACATCGATACGAAATATAAAATATGGTAAACGATAATCGTTAAAAAAGAGACAAAGATATAACGTATATCGATGCCTAAGAATCAGCGAATCTGTATTTCGCACAGTATTTTTTACGGTTTCGATTATTGGTCAAATCTAATCGAATTAATAAAGATTTAACGAGCCCCGATAATTTCGCACGCGCGTGTTCCATCACGACTTTATAATTACTCGCTTGGATCGCTCCATTCGTGATATAGAAATTTTCTCCGTGTCACGGCAACGGATCAACAAAATTAATGGCACATAACCAAGCACGCTGTACGAATCGAGGAATGCGCAATTTTCTCTTAATTTCTTCGAAACAGCCACTAACGAATCGAACGTGTCAAAATAACGGTAGAAAATTGTACTCCTTCCTATAGTATGTGTAGAAAAATAACACAACCTTTTTCCTTTACTGTTTTCCTTATAAATCTCATAGCTGAAACTGTACTAATGAACACCCTGTATGCATTAATAACGAAGGCCAGCCAGACGTTCGTATGAATCATGCGATATTTAAAAACTCGAGAGAACGAAGGCTACCACTTTGTCCCTCCCAGAAATAAATGGAATTAACTGTTCGCAATACAAATCGTCGTTTACTCGACCGAAGCTAATTAACTTTCTAAACGCTGAGTAATTAAAAACCGACGAAATTATTTATTCGCGAATTTTTACCAAAAAAGATCGATTCGCTTCTTTTGTCATTTTTTCTTGACTAATCATTCGAGCGTCAGTAATGTCGGTATCACTCGCATCGAAAAGGACGGTAAACAATTACTACGTACGAATACCTTTTATAAATTAATCTCGTAACTGAGATGTAATCTGGCAGTCGTCCAAAGCCGAAAGGCACGGACTAAGATTAATAAAATAATAAAAATAAAAAATAATCTCGTAACTACCGAATTAAAAAAATTTGTTCGCAAACACTGAAATCAAAAAGCGCAAAATAAAGATTAACTATCGATAAATTTCAGATCTAGATGTTCGTAAGATCTTTATAAAAGTGATCGTTATACGTATTTAATTATATTTAACATAACGAACATAATATGAATAAATTCCAGTAAATCGATTAAAAAGCTAGAAATATTAAAAACGCGAATGTATTATTCAGGAACGTAATTATTTTTATGAGCGATTTTTCTTAAAAATACGCATAAAACAAATAGATCGACATTTACAAGGTACGCACGCACATTGATTCCTATTCGAATCGACTATATCTCGTTAAATGAAAATACACAGTTCGCAAACTAATTAACGATAATTCTATTTACACTCTATCGAATCTATATTATGCAACAAGCAAGCATGTAACTATGTACTCACTCGGATTTCGTTGTATTTCATGGTAGAGAATAGTCAATATCTCCGCCGATTCCAAGTAATCTGTTAATCCATCGGAGGCGAGAATCAGAAAATCCTCGGTTCCGTCTAAAGGTACAGTCTTTATTTCTGGTTCGCCAGTTACAAACGGCTTGTATTGAACGTCACCTGGAACCACGCGAAAAGAAATATCGAATTATCGTAAAAACTTATTCGACGACATTTTTAATTATCGGTGTATACATTTTCTTAACTGTGTGTATTTCTGCGGAATTTGTCAAACGAAATGTATACGAATCTATTTTGGTGCTATCTAAAATCTTCCTATCTATTTAATTGTTAAACGTAAAGAATTTCATTCATAGATGTAGTAAACTGATGGGTGAACCTGAGTAAATTTATAATAACCGGAAGCGTCTGTATTATGGTGGTGCCATTATTTAAATTAGCCACGCCATTCATTAAATAGATAATTAAAGTTAATTACATATATACATGCTAGTTGAATACTGATATTCCCCACGCCTCAGCGTCGCATGTTTTTTAGATGTAAAAAGCATCGTTTACATGTATACGGATAACTGTAACGGTTCTCTTGAATTCCATAAAACTACACGTTACGGGGCATAAAATTCTCTCTCTTTCTCCCACTTTATCCTTTTACTTTGCTCGATCGCAATTGAAAAGTTTCTATGAAGAATCCGATCCATAGATAGCCGGGTGTCGTTAATTATGCGAATGCTATCTCGTTTCATTTTAACAACGTCTTCGAAACTTCTCGATTAGGCTTCTTGCATTTTTCAACTATATATCTAATAGCAACTTGAAATACGTATACTTGTAAAACAGTAAACAACGAAAGATCGTGTTTAAGTATAATCGTAATTACCGTTCTATCGTATAGAATTTTTCTCACTCAACGCGCTGGAATAGAATTGAGATGGTCGTATTTTATTTCTTTTCGTCGTTTCGTCAATGACGAAATCTTACCAGCTACACCGATTCGAATAGAATTCAAATAACTATAAAAATCGACTATTTCGAAGTATCAAAGTTTCTCTGCGACTATGTATACGAGAGGATTTTTTAATGTCATTTTCTGTCAAAAACGGGGTTCGTTTACGTTTTCCAATTCGAGCGACAATATGCTCTCAAACATAAACATACGAGTTCTAATCGCGTAACAAATTTTCATCTACGTCTCATATTTTCGTTATAATTACACATTTTTTTCGTCTAATAATAAATAAAATATTTCGTCTAAAATAAAACCTTGTTAACCAAACTTTACAGGATCAAAGGTTCTACGAATTTCTATCGTAGATTCGTTTAAACGTTTCATCGATATTAGGTAACCGGGTACGAAAAATATCCTATGAATATTTACAATCGTTAAAAAGCATCGTAACGATTATAAGATATAATTTTATGATAAGAATCAATTATCAAAATTTTACGACGTCGAAACGAAATTCTTCTAACGACAAACGTTCGAGACACGCGTCTCCTCGAGAAGCATAAATGGTTTAATGGGCTGTTAATTATTCCCGGCAGGCGATGTAGAAGCCACCCAGTAAAGAGTCCATTGCTCGAAGCATGATTGCACGTATTATTGTGTCAGCGGTCGAACGGAACCAACAGGATACCCAACACGCGTCCAGAATATTTTCTTTCCTTTTCTTCGCAATACCTAAGCCATAGTTGGCCAGCTGTTGGTACACGTTGATTCTCCCTACTTGGCTCCCTTACAAAACACGCGATTTTTATTCGATAAAATTAATATATAAAAATCATTTGACTCCAATTAACGAAACTTTCGATCATAATCGATCCTTGCGATGAGCGAATGCCTATAACTAGACCGTGGATATTTAATGTAAGTTATATAAACTGATAAGTAATGTTTATGTATAATAGTACTTAATACATGAAGAATAGATATACGTTATACGAAGTTCGAAATAAAAAGAGAAAAATAGATCCTTTAAATATGATTAATATTTTGAAATGAAACTATTCGTCACACTTGGTAGAAATAAACAATATGTAACAAAACTATTTCGAAATTTCCACGTCAAGATGATAGTAGTATCGAATTTCAAAAGCCACAAAAACATAAAATCTAAAATAACTATCCGTAATAAAATAATTAAAGGCAAACCAACATCTACGACGTCCTTACGGTTATCTTCACTTTTAACTTATCATAGTTATTCGATTAAATAACTTTTATATAAATTATCTTTTTCACTTGAAATTTCTTTTCTTTCTATAAAACTTAAATATGTACGTACTTACATAAATACACGTATACGAATAATTATATTATATGTATATAGGATATCCTATGCAACTGAAACAAGCTATGTACGTTTTTAAAATGATTAAAAGCATAAAGAATTCTCGAATAATCTCCTAATTATCCTAAAATACCCGATATTTAGTTTAGACTAAAGTTTTCTACAATTAACGTTACCTTTTTATTTTGTTTCGTATTTAAAGGAAAAGTCCATCTTTCGGAAAATAAACTTCCCAGCATCGAGTAAATGACGACCTTCTTAACATTGAATAACATGAAATTTACCAAAAGTAAGAGTATCCGTCGAGTTCCAGACGCATTATTTAAAACGCGCATTTCGAGCAATTGACCGATTATGAGAGAATACTTGTATCGCCATCTAGCGACGTGTATATAGTTTTCATAGCAGTGGAATTGATTACCACGACTACGGAAATAACGGAAGAAGTTTGATTGAAAATAAAATTAATCGTGCAAAGTTAATATTAACGTGTTCTACTTCATACACATTTACGTATCGACGAACGTGAGTACTAAGAATAATATTAATTTCAAACATAAACACCAATTACGATCAACGATGTATACCCGACCATACATAAATGCGTAATTTCTTTGTTTTGCATTAACATTTTTTTAAAAAGAATTATCATGTAAAATGCTTTATAATATCCGGATATTATTGACAAGTAGATGCAAAAAGTTAACCTATAAATATTAAGTAACGATGCTTTTTACTTTTCAATATATGTAAAAGTATAAAATATACGAAACATATGAATTATATTTTATGATAAAATTTTTCCAATTCTCAACTTTCTTTTATCTAATCTGTTAAATAAAATACATAAATCATGCACTGAAACTGTATTTTTATTTTGTAAGCATTCCGTAATAAAATTAACTTACCTATTGCTCGTGAAACACCTAATATTCCGTTGACTCTCATAGTTCCCATGCTTTGCATCACTACTCCTCCTGCTTTCCGTATTCTTTGAACTTCATCCTAATAAGAACAATCAATATCGTTTGCACATTTGTTACAAATTTTTTTAAAACACATTATATTTATCAGATGTCGATTGTTTCTAAACAAAGAAAGTAAATTCTAGCTTAAAATTTATTGTCGCAAAGATCATTTAATTAAGAAATAAATATTAACATTTTATCGTTAAAATTATAGATTAAATAACATTAAAAATGACAGCGGTAGGAACACAAATAGATAGTGACAAAAGACTAATACAATTTGAAACTTATGAAGACTATTTGGATTCCCTAGTAACATTTGTTGACCTTGGATATTTGGGAAATCTCAATGTCGCGCGTAGATTAGCTGAACTTGGTTATCGTTGTACGAGCGAAACACTCGACGAAGAAACATTTTATCGTCGTTTGGAAGCTGTGAAAAATTTACTTTTTCCAATTTATAGACCGTACGAGTTAACATCGGAACATGTGATACCAAGGGATAATATAATGCAAGAATTAGCACTCAGAGAACGCCTGAACAGATTGAAAATCATATCCACTATCATATTCGTTAGAAATTTAACAAAACTTCAGTTTGAAATTTCTGGTTACATCGATTTTAGCGAAAGGCTTGAAAAAGAAAATTGGCTTCCGTATTTCCAAGGAAGAAAAAAAATATGGCCTTGCGCATCTGACCTTGCATATTATTATTGGAGAACAGGGAAAACATGTTTAAACAAAACGTCAAATTTTCAACCTGTTATAGACCCAATATTAGGGCTTCGATTTAAGCACTGTCACGATAGGCATTTCATTAATGTAGATCCTGGGGTGCCCTCTCCAGGCATATATACAACACGAGTAAGAATACATAGTCAAGAATATGAACACATAATATTATACGATCATGTTCTGCGAACAAGATGTTAAACATAGTGAAAACATATATACTTACTTCGCGATGAAGCCGGTGAGGACTCACTAATTGAACGACACTGTCACGTTTTACCAGCATAGCTGTCGAATCTCCTACCCAGGCAACATATAATCTTTTATTTAATATTAAAGTGCACACTGCGGTAGTTCCACCACATACTTTCTGAAACGATAAAAGTAATAAAAATGATATATTGCCTGTATATTTGATATATTATTCCACAAAAATATTTCTTTCTTACTTGTGTCCGTGATTTCTCTATAAACCGTCTGTCGGTAGTAAGAAAAGCATCACGTAAGGCACGCTCTGGATCTGTAGGATAATATACGCTTTCTGCTAAATATTGATGCAGATGAGAAGCACAATACACAGCTGCATCTTGTCCCGCGTGTCCATCAAATACTGCATAGTAATTTGCTATAGAGTCATCCTAAAATTTGGAATATGCTTTTCCAATAAAAGGCTTACTACGTGTATATATTTGCTAAGAAAAATTTAATCTTTGTATTTACCTCGATACCAAATATACTGTGTAAGTCATGTAAAACCACGTAGCGATCTTCCATTTTTCTTCTACAATTTTTGCTTCCACCTGCTGTTATCTGTGGCAGTGGTGTACAAGGAGGTGGTGGCAATAATGCTAATCTACTATTGTCCAGGTAGCGAGTACATATTTCATTAACTTTACTGGTAATGGCTTGCATTAATTTTAACGAAGTATATGCTGCAAGATAAAAAGGAATTATCGCAGACTATTTTTATTATAAAAAACAACAATATTTTAAAGTTCTTCTAAAGAGACATACCTTGTTCTTTAGATTTAAATCCACAATCCTCCGGTTGCTTGTTGCACATGGCTTTGACTTTTCCTATTACTTGATGAACCAAGTGTGCTTGTAAACTTGCTGGACATTGTCTAGAATGTTACAAAATTCTCTATTTACACATGTAAATAATTTTTAAGTATCTAACAAGATCAATTGTTTCATACTTTGAAAAATAATTATCTATTTAAAGAACAAATTACGCAATACAAGTACAAATCTGAACATAGAAAGCATAAAAATAATTGAAGCAGTACTTAGCAAACTGACAGCAATAGATATGCGAAACTTTCGATTAACAAAATTCAAAAGTCTATCTTCTATAGTGAAAATACGCTACAGTGATAACCATGGGTTTTTCATTCCGAAATTCTTTAAATCGTAAGAATAAAAAATATTTATAATTTGTTTTAAAAGTAATTTTAAACGAATGTACGAACGATATATGTATCCGCAACATATTATTTGTTCTATTAATTTTTTACATTTTTATAGTGACTTTAATCGTAGATTTAATCGCAAAAGCTTTCAATGTGATTGAATGCCATATAGGCGTATTAGTAATATGCTTAAAGTATCGTGTACCTAAAATTTTCATTTAGAAACAACTTTTGTCATACTGGAGGTTATATGTAATATATGTATGTATGTAGAATTTCTGCTATAGTCTTACAGCGTTTTTGATTTAATAAACAAAAGTTTACATTTTATTTACATCATACGATGTATTTTATGTTTTTGCGTTGTTGAAAATTGTTTTATGACTTTCAAGTATTAAAGATAGTTGTAGATAATCTTAATAATTTTACAATCTTGTTTTAAATTTAAAAAAAGAAAACATTTTTTTTATTCTAATTGAATTATCAAATTTTGAAAAAATAGTAGCTTCACATTAAGCAATGACTGAGAGAACTGCTTTTCTGAATGACAGTCCTTCATTGTACATTTCTGCGATCATCTCATACTCGAAATGAAATGGGACATAAAAAACATTAAATTTTTTAAATATACAGGGTGTCCTAGGTTCTGACGGCCAGATGCTATCGGTATATTCTACGGATCTAAATAGGGGAAAAATGTTATATAAACATAGATCGCTTAAAGCTTTATTAAAAAGTTATGAGAAAGATATGAATTTACTGAGATGAAACAAATTAGGAATGACATTCGCAGAGTAATAAATTCTATTTTCGGCTGTTGTCAATCTTGTATCGTCAGAACGATGAACATTTTGGGATGGAGAATTAATTACTTTTGCATAAACAAAGTGAACATAAATATTACTGACGCATATACCGTAGTAACCTTGCTATTGTTCCCTTCGTATTTCATATTTTCGTCGTAACCTATTAATAAAGCTTTAAACGACCTACGTTTATGTAACATTTTTTTCTTATTTAGACGCATAGACATACCGACAACGTTCGTCCATTAAAATCTGGGACACCTATTGGGATATCTATTCTTGCTTTTATAATTACTAATACTATTCTCGTCGCATACTATTATTATCGTCGCATGTAAACAAATAACTAATTACTGAAATATCATTTTCATACTTTCGTACTTTCATACTTCCATACAGTTTCATACTTTGTCTAGTAAATATACGTATGCAGTAGCAAACATCAAATGCATCGTTTTCATCGTACGTTTCATCCAATCTGAAGATAGTCATAATTCGTTCAACGGAAAAGATTCATTTATTCCTTTCTGAATAGTTACTGACAATTAAACAATTTACTAATTTATAAAAAGAACGATAGAATAGATAGAGTTTGAAAAAATGATTATACGCATTTCCGATAACCGCCATATTATGCGGCGTATCATTTAGATATGAGAAATCTATGGAGAGGAGAAGTAGCTCTCGAGCAGCATTTACCTCAAGAACAAGGAGTTTACGCTCTAGATGAACATTTCGTGAAGATCAAAGAGACCGGTGAAAACGAGGAGATAGCTGTTTCAAATCTATTAAAATCGGAATCTTTCGAACTAGTTCGTAGCGGTACGTTGGAAGACGAGGGCTCGCTGCAGCCTGTGAGAAAGCATCCCGAACCACCAGCAAACGCATCGTCTCCGGAGCATTACCGACAGGGGAGAGAAATGGTATCGATCGTTGGCGCTTATCAACATGAAAGCAATGAAAACCTCGACGAGTATTTCAAAGCTGTGGGTATGTTACAAGCGACTAAAACCGAATGTCGCCTAGCTTACGATGGAAGCAAAAACAAATACGATGTATAAAATTCCGCCTATTAGCTTGTTCTTGAAAATTTCGAAAACGCGTACAAAAATACGAATCGATCGATTTGTTATACGTATACTCGTAATATACTAATTTACTAATGCGCTATCGATTAAAAGTATAGATTGAAATTTTGATTAGTATGTGGACATATATACACGTGCTTGTACACAAACACTCGTTACACGATGTATTATATACCTATATATTTTTACAATTATTAATTATTATAATTTACAATTACTTTATAATTATTTACTTTACCTATAATGCATGTTATGTTACACGTTTTTTCCTACCTATTGGATATTTCATTTATCAAATAAAGGATTAAAACGTTCAATCTTAGTGGATTATTTATTGAAAACCTACTGTATCGAGCTGTATCGAACTTCATAATAGAAACTACATATTAGATTATTGAAAAGACGAAATCGTGTACATTGATTAGCGTTATTAGTATAATATCGAAATTAAGTTATTTTTAATTGTATGCACCTATAGGTGTACCATACATTCCACGGAAAATGATGTGCATGTCCAGTCCGCGACTAGAAATATCGAACAACTGCGATAAATGGACTATTCGCACCATTACGATGATTCGTACGGCAGAAGTGACCTTTACTCTTGGCGAAGAGTACGAAGAACATATGCCGGCAGGAGTTATACTGAAAGTACAACCACTCCTTTCGTAATATTTTTTTTTGAAATACCGTGCTCGCCCTAACTCGATCGAGATAATTTAATATTTTTAGTTTCAAGTTTGAAACATACTTTGAATTACGTAAAAAACAAATTAGCCATTGCATATCTTTCTTCGATATATAATTAAACGAATAGAAAAAATTATTTGAGAGAGGACTTCGTATCCTTAACTTCGAATAACATAAATAGTACTACCGATTTTCAAAGAATTAAATTGTGATTTGTTTTATATACAGGGCGTCCCCAAAATTGTGACACAATAGGCCGGATGGAGATGCTACGTGGAAAAATAAGTCGAAAAAAAAATAAGTCTTTTTCGCTTAAGGCTTCGCTTTCGAAAAAACGTGAATTAAAAAATCTGTCAGGTCCGCGTAAGTACCTATTAATTGCAAATTTCGAGGTATAAAACTTCTATTTTTGATCGTATTTTGATTAGAACCCCCGCGCACTAACGACAATTTATCGCTTACGAAAAGGGCGTTTATTTATATGTATTTTATATGAACGTGGACGGATTTTACGACGTGACTGCAGGATAGCACTTTATTTTTTGATCTTGCTCGCATCAATCAAAAGTTCAATTTCTCCTTTCTCTAATAACACCACATAGGGTGTTTAACGAAATGGCGAGCACGATTTTTCAAATATTTCCGATAATGTAACAAACAATATTTCAAACAAAAGTTGCTCTGTTTTGAATCAGTTACAAGTCAATAAAAGATAAGAGTCACTTTAACTTTTTAACAAATATTTGCACATTGGACTTCCTATCTGTCGTACGTGTTTTTCTACTTATAATAAGTGCTCAAATTATTGCATACCACTTGCCGCGACACAAAGTCCCGTTCCTTTCAACAAACTTTGATGCGTAGAAGCAAATAGACTTCGTGGATCTATTTCTCTGCACGCATGTATTATTTTATCACAAAGTTCTTCCGCAGAGTTTACTGGTTTGTCGTAAACAACGGATAATGTAAATATCCCCATAAAAAGAATCTAATGGAGATAAATGTGGTGAAAGAGCCTACCAGTAATTTTTACTATTGCAATTTGTTGACAGTACAAACGTTATCTTAAGCGCGTGATCTAACGCCCTATTAAATTTCACACGTTAACAACAATGCTCCTATGAATCAATGAATTCAGGATTTCTGAACTCATGGTCATCAGAAAGTTGTAGTATTTCGATCGATGAACTAAAAAGGTCAGTGTGACCTTGATTTCTTATAGAAAGAAGCATTTTTTGGCAATTTTAAGTATTGAAATTTGTGACCGATTCAAAACAGATCGACTTTTGTTCGAAATATTTGTTTGTTACATTATCATTACACATCAGGAATGCCCGGAAAAAATCGTGCACCCCATTTCGTTGAACACCCTGTATAAATACTAAAGCGACAGTTTTGTCGTTAGTGCGATGCATTTTAAACGTGGACAGTGTCGCGATTTGCTTTCTGTTATCTCTTATTTCCGTAATTGGAAGATATGTTTACGAGAAACAAAAGTTTCATAGGTCAAAATTTGCAATTAATACACGGGTAACTTACAGATTTTTAAACTCTTTTTTTTTCGAAAACGAAGCCTTAAATAAAAAAGTGTAATTCTTTTTTCCGATTTATTTTTGCATGTCGGTTGCAACCTTGTATCACGATTTTTGGCAATATCCTATGTAAAAAGAAAGAGAGGGGTGGACCTTTTCATTTTTCACCGTTCGTATTTCTGTCTGTTTTTATCTAGAATGTAACTACAATGGAAGGAGATAATTTAGTGACAGTTTCAGTCGGTCCAGATAACAACAAAGTAGTGCGGAAGTACGAAATTACAAAGGATGGTGTAGTGTTGGTACGTTCCATTTACATGTCCGTTCACATATACACAAGCTTTTATCGATCCTACAATAGCATTCAAAACTTTAATTTAAATATTTATTTATCCGTATTTATATTATACATATTGCGAGAAATATGATATGCATACCTCATCTGATATCAATTACTATGTGAGGAAGATCTCATCGATATATAGATGTATATATAGATGTATATATGCATACATATTTCACTGGCAGCAGAGCATAGCAGTATAAGTTTGTTTGTTGAAATTTTTAATGGCCAATTGACTATTTATTTTTTATATCGACTATTGAGATTTTTATATTTATATCAGTTATTCGGTTATCGTTTGTCACGTCCTTGCCTTGTAATTATATAAAACATAATTAAATAAAAGAAACGATAGCCTTGAAAGGTATTGATATGAAAGTAGATATTAATATCGTATTTTCTATTTTCAGATAATGACCCATGAAAAGAGTGGCCAAGTAGGAAAGCGCTATTTTAAGCGCCTTTCGTAAAGCTTAGTTACTGTTTGAACTACAAAATATTTGTATACTTGGATTCCATATAAATTCCATTAGCTATTAACAATTAAGTTTTCAATCGCTTTATGCGCTTTATACGCATATTGCACCTAACAGTAACTTGTTGATAACACAATCTGAAAGCAAGCACACTTCAGATGGTAAAAAACCTATCATACAAAAACGGAAGCCGCACGGAAAATGCGTACAGTTACGAGAAAGCAAAATTCGCCGGATCAATCGTATATGTTCCGTCGTTTCAGCATGCGCCCTGCCTACCTTTATTGCGTGTCACGTGCTACACAATATATAAAAACACGGATAAATAAAAATTATCTTATAATAAATAATTAAAATGTGACGCGTAAAGGAATTTTATTTGTAGTATATGCATTTAAAGGATTAAACATATTATATGAATGACATGAAAATGTGACGCGTAATTTCTTTTATATAAATCTTTTCTTATAAAAATCTTTTGTTTAATATACTATATGCGTTTCGTGTAATATCAGTAACTTACAAATGTATTTTTCCGGTAAATGCTTTGTATAATTTCGATGTATCTATATTTTCGAATTTGTTTCAAAGTTTAGTAATATACATAATTATGATAGTCGTGCCTCATTACGATGCTAATAAAGTCTCAAAAAATTCTTTATAACACCCATAATATGTCCATACAAATCTTCTATGGTAATTAGTTTAAATAGTTATGCGAGTAATTACACAAAGTGTCCCAGCCATTACGACGCAATCGAAAATGTAGCTTAAAAAAATAAATCGAAAATATTCGTATGGCGTTTCATTTTCGTCTTTCGGAAAGATAGAGTTTGAACACGCGTGTACTTAATATATTTTCAAATTCGATTTTTTCGAAAATGAATCTTCAAACGAAAAAATTTGATTCGACATTTCCGACATCTTTTCAGGCATGTGGAATCAACCCTCTTCTCGGGGCTGATGCAACGGATGATACTGGGACACCGTGTATGTCGTTTATGTTTACATTCGATGCCGGCCGCCATAGGAGCTATCAACGAATAAACACGTCTTTTGTCCGCCCACGCACTGCCATGCTGCAATATTATTCATTTAAAAAGTACATTCACTTACGTCTGGTTGAGGTACTGTAGAGTCACGTTGATGATTTCACCGACGATCTCAGCCTCGATGACGTTATACGAACTTACTGAGACAGGCAGCTGATCGTATGGATTCACTCTGGCGACAAATTCGGAGAAAAAACGGCTATACGCTCCGAGATAATCACCGTCAGGACAATCTTCCGCCATTCTTTTTTCTCTTGATCAGAAATCCAAGTTATCCGGTGCACGCTTCTGTTAGAGCACAAAAACCACAATACGTTGACTGCGTTTACTGAAATGTGAACGCGATACCTCAATAGCTATCTCTTAGTGACTAAAGTCGAATTAACCCACATGAAAATATAAGAATGGAAAGCAGAGAAATAGAAAGAAAGCAAAAGTGTGTGCGTATATTTGAACGTTTTTGTCGTTTTACTAAACGAAGCGTTCCTCTGTTCTGAACCTATTCGTTGATAGGCGATATTTGTATTTAGGTTACGTCACTCATTCAACATCGCGTACGCACATAACACTACGGGCCCGATCGAACGACGCGTTTCTCTATTGTGTTCCTTAGAGAAGTGGGGAGAATTTGCCGCGACGTTTAAACACTATCTCTCCCGCTTCTTTCAGTTTAGCGTTGCTTTTTGCCTTTCCTTTTGCCACTGGCCACTTGCGGATTGACTCTCGTAACGGAAGAAAAAGTGCGTAACGGAATTCCCCGAGTCACCTACTGCGCATGCCCGTCACGGGCCTCTGCATTTGCTGTTTCGCCGGCGTATGCTACTACAATACTTCTTTATTATGTTTAACTATTATCTTTCTTCCGATTTGTACGTACTATTGTGTACGTACATTTCCTATTCTGATATATTTTTCAACTTTTTTTGTATATTTTTACTGTAATTTATATGAAAAGCGTTAAAGCCTTTATATGAAATTTACATGAGAAACATTAAAGTAATTGCTATTTTATCATTTATATACATATCGTGTATAATAATAATGTACTCAAAATTTATATTACAAATAGAATTTTACTTTAATGTTTTTTTTTTAGTTTAGCAAATTTAGTTTAGTTTCGTTATATTTGAAATTCTGTTTTGTAAAAAATTTATAATGATAAAGTTAATAAATAATAATTTTTTCAAGTATACTTTCATATACTATTGTACAGTATTGTACAGTACAATACAATGAAATAAAATAAATCTTTCATTACAAAAATATTAAAAAGATATGAATCTATTCGAAAATCAATTTTCAATTAAATAGTAAAAAGGAAGCTTATTATAATAAATTCAATCTAAATTATTTTTATTAAAACTAAGTATTTAGTTATGTATTAGTAAATGAATACCGTTTTTGTCTTAAAATATTGCTAGGAATTTGATTAAGAACATGATAGTTAATATATAGTTAGTTAATATATAGATAGTTATATACACTATCAAGAATTTGATAGTTAATATAAACAAGTCGATAATTCAAGTATATCTTGTATTTATTTGCTTATTTACTTTGTCCCTTGATTGTAACCTTTTGGGACCTTGAACTTAGAAGTAAATAATGAGTTCGATTGACAAAAACATTAACGCGTAAAATTTAAATTCCATGATCAGATTTCATTCATGCCAATAACGTGTGTGCTATTAGCGAAAGATGCTTTCTAAACGCACGCGAACATGATTATCAATAAACTACAGATAAGTGCTATTGTTATCGAATTATTGTGGTAGCATGTCAGTCCTTTCCTCTTTGATATTTTTTACTATTTTCTACGCTAACAAGGGTATTTAGATGGTCTGCTGTACGTAACTCATTCTACATAAATGATGAATTTTTCCATATAATAAAACCCACGTCCAAAATTTAATTTCTGAATTTTTATTTTGAAGTATCACGTACTACTTAAAAATATCTATGATATTAAATACATTAAATTATTCTTACATTATGGTACAAAATTTTTTTTCTTCTTTCTCGTATTGATTTTCTTTTAATTTGTCACTTACAATTCGTAAATATGATTTACTATTTTCTTTTTCTAGCCAGCTAGGTAATGGAGCATTCCAATTTTCTGGAGGTTTATCTCTCTTTTGCCAAATATCATTCTTATAATGACCTTCTAATCTCTCTAGTCTGCGCTTCTTTTCACTGTTTATTAATTGCTTCTGTAAATAATACAATATTTCTTAAAACATTATATAACTCATTATAAGTAACATTTTATAAAACAACTTTTAATTATTTAATTCTTAACGTACACATGCTTCTTTATCTTTATATTCAGACCATAGATTGCAATTCTTATAATCAATTTGCCACTGTTTACAGTCTAGAGTTTCTCCAAATATAAAATATTGATGAAACCGTGCTCTTATGCTTGTACAATCCCTAAATTCCTCTTTATATATTTCACATGGTTTGATCTAAAATATTAAATTATTAGTTATAAAGGAAAGAATGATATATTAATATTTTCTTATATCTCAAATGTTTAAATACAATTGACTAATTTCTTAACATAGCTATAATATAAAAGGATATTATACAACTATACAGAATCTATAATTATACCAGCCATTCATATGCAATTTCTTCTTCAGGTGTAGTATTTTTCATTGTACTGTTAGGTTCTGGCATTTTTCTCTTGGCTTTGTGGTCAGGCACTAACTATTTTCTTCTTTAATAGAACAAATAACTGTAACAGTTTATATTTACAGAATGAATTTTACACAATTACTAATCATTGATATTCTTTTTGCATATATAAAATTGATTTTAGTAGATATCTTATTTATATAATGATAAAATACAATACATATTAATGTCTCCAAAATTAATGTGTAATTTTGCACAAAGTCGATGATATAATTAATGATATTTCTATAATATAACGAATAAAATAATTATAAAATTAGAAATACTACTGTAATTCATGTTTAAAATAATTTCTAATTTTCTATTATATTTTAGGTTATATTTCAATGTTACTGACAGAAAATAAGTTTGCTATGTGAATTTCCTTTAAAATAAGAATACAAATAAGCTTATACGTATATAGTAAACAGTAGTAAGTTTCATTTCTATCTTTTCCTTAATTAATAAAATCTCATTTTAACAATCCTATTGTTCACGTGAAATTGAAATCTTATTAAAAAAGGTAGAAAATTAACCATGGACATTGAATATATAGGGACCCAGCATAACCTTCATGCGTTGGCACAGGGTGTGAATTCACTCCTGGGGAGTGGGAAAAACAGTCATGTTGTACTTGGAACCGCATTGATCATTGGTCACTGATTCAATGATGTATGTTAGAAGGAGAAAATAAACTAGTCAGTCAGTTACACTGGCTTCCTCTTACTCAATGAAAATAAGATTGCCCTTACGCAATCACAACCAATCATCAATGCGTCTCCAAATACCACTTTCCTGTTCCTCAGAAACGACTTCACACAATTATTGCTCGGTCCCTATATTCTTATGTCCATGGAATTAACATGTAGGGACATCCTAGAATATTATTCTGCACATTTGAAGTTGCAATATTTATCTGTTATATTAATTTTTATGTATTTTCCAACATCAGTATTATCCTATTAAATATGTGTTTGTAACAAAAATGTGTTTATATTTTAATAATAGTATAGAATAGAGAATGTATTATAGTTGCATTTATTCGTCTATTTGTGTCAGTGATGCTCATGTTAACTAAACCTGCTAGAATATGCTTTAACCTCTAGCGATCTTTCTATACTACCACTATTCGAAAATTTAATACAAAATTTTATATATTTACATATATATGTATATTTAACATATAAATTAATGGTCTCAATTTTTTCAAAATATAAGAATTGTAGCTTATCGATGAGTATCACTGCTTTCCGCCATATTTCTCGTCCCTACCCCTACTTATTCTCGCCGACCTATCGTCTTGTTATGATTGTAATATTTGTGATTCTCGTTCGTTCAAATTGAAAGTGTTTGATATCTTGCTGTGGAAATTTGTAATTGTAATTGCTGTCAGTTCTCTAACCTCTTTATCGACGAATGTCCTAGTGCTTTATATCGTGTTAGTTGAAAGTGACATATAATCGCGTAACATGATGTCGCGGTCTGTACGTGCAGAGACTCGTAGTCGTGCCAAGGATGATATTAAGCGTGTAATGCAAGTCGTTGACAAAGTTCGCCATTGGTAAATCTCTTAACATATTATAGATGCACGAGGAAATGTTGAAAAGTTTTACAAAAGAAAATAAAAGAAAGAATGTAGTAAAACTATATGGATATCAAAAATGGATAAAAATTTTTCTTCTTTGCAAGGTTTAATAGAGATTTTGCATTACACATGTCAGCTGTAAACAGACTTTTGTAGTTCTGAGATGTTTTATGCGTGTTGATTGAGTAATAGTGTTGTATGTCTGCTTTTTTAATAACAGTAAAGAAGGTAGCTTCTCTGTCTGTTACTTTAATATTGATCCAGGAAATCATCAGTGCTTTTCATGCCGACACTTTTATAGGGAAAAGAAATGGGTTACAATAGGAGAAACTACTATGAAGATTTATAAATGGGTACCTATATCAACACTTGATCAGGTAAACAGAAGTTACGAAGCATGTATAAAAGTAAGAAATAAAAATCAATATTCTATTGCGTAGAAGAAGAAGACAAAGACAGTTGCAGACAAGGAAAATGGTTTGCCAAGAAAAAGTGGATTAGATTCGTCGAACTCTAATTTTGGTCTTACAGAAGATTCAAATACATGTAAGTTAAATTTCAATACTTTATGACATATCTGTTATTTCTTGAATGTTAAAATTTACAAAAGTTTTACAATATATTAGGTTTTTCAACAGTTAGTGATTCCCAAGGATTAACTGACTTTTCTGCGCATCTGGGATTTTCTGAAGATTCTAATTCACAAAATAGTGAACCAACATCTAAAAGGTTAAAGACTGATTAAAGTTCATCCTGTGACTGTTATTTGGGATATTAAATATTTAGGAAATAATTTCTATCTTATACGAATTTGCACGCTATAAAGTTATCTTAAATCATAATTGTAAATTAACAAACTAAATGAAATTTCATCTTTCATTTTATTCTATATTTAGCGAAAATTTTTATGCTTCAAAGAAGGGGATAATCATATCGATCAATTTAAGTTATGAGTAAGTAATGAATTTATTTTTTTATACACGAATTTGTTATAAAATAACATGGTTTAGTTTAGAAACTAATGTTAATGATGTTTTATTCAAGCATGTGCATTAAATGTACAGCTCCTTTTAAGATCTGTTTTGAAGGAAATTTAAAAGTGTAGTATAAAATTATTTTTCAAAACGGATTGTACATTTTAGACAATATTCATATTATCACAGTATTATTTAATTAATGAGATACATATAAGATTTTCCTTTACTTCAATGTAACATCTCAAATAACTGATTGTCAAACATTGATATGTTATAATCTTGGAAATGTAAAATAGATAATGATATATTTGTTTTTGCTGTAAAATAATATCTCCAAAATACAAATGTATAATGTTACAATTATCTTCAAAATATTTATGTGTCTAAGTATAATCATATATTCAATAATTGCTCGATAACTGAGTATCATTGTACATATTTCAAGTATCATTTCTTTGCAGTGTTATATTCTAGAATTTACATTCCTTGAGGTTATGTTATAGCACCATGAAATGTACAAAATACGCTTTGACACTTACAAATAAAATAATACAATTGTGAATGTTTGAATTTATATTTACATAAGTTTTCAGGAAAGCATAAAAATGCTTTGATAAAATTATTACTTAATCATTTTCATTTGTTCAAATACAAATGTTTAGAAACTTGTATGCATTAAAAAGAATTAAATCAAAAACATCCTACTATATAGCTAATTATTATAATTTTTTTATAACTAATTCTGTATATGGATTCATATCTGTAATTTTAATAATGTATGTATATTATGGATTATGTACAGAAATATATTTGGCTATTATACTAAATTTTTGCTTTTAATGTGTACAAATCTGAAAATCTTTACAGTAATTTAAATTATAAGTTGAGTATACTTTCAATTAATGCTAACTGTTATAATAAATATAATCAACATTTTATTACGTAAGATATATGTTTTAAGATTTTAAATATGTGGTATATTTAAACATATTATAATAATTTATATAATATTTTAATAAAAAAGGAATGGCATCTGTATGATTATTTTTTATCTCAAATGTAAGATTGAATAAGTAAAGCAATAAAAACGACCATTGAAAAATTGTATCAAATGTAAATGATTAAGGAAACTGTAAGTCCTATATAACACTTTTATTTACCAAGATAAAATTTTTCCATCATGTTGAATAAAACAACCTGTATGTTCTTCATTTAATAAATTTAATATATTCAAGATATTAGTAACACTAGTATCAACATCCATGGGTGCATTGGTTCCTCCCATATCTGTACGCACCCAGCCAGGATGTATACAAGTAACAAGGATTCCATCCTTTTTTAAATCAATGCTCATTGACTTTGTAGCTGCATTGAGAGCTGCCTAAAAATAAGATAAATATTATAAACTGTATCTATTACATAGGATAGGTAAATTCTTTATTGCACTATTCAGTCTAATACAAAATTAGTGCTTACAATAAAATACTGAGATAGTATGAAATAATTTTGTTGCAATATGTAACTGTACGAAGCTATGAAGTAGGAACAAATAAGAGAATAGAGGATCGCTAATGTAAACAGTATATATAGAAAATATGATTTTCTCAAAGAAATCTACTGCAATACTTTTATACACAAATAAATAATATTCAAATTTAATGTTTTGTTAAGTTATGAATTATGTATTGATTGATTCAAGCAAAGAAAATATTACCTTGCTACATCTATAAGGGTAATATCCACCTTCATTATTGTCAGCAATACTTCCAAGAATTGAAGACATGTTAATAACCGCAGCTCTGTTAACATTCATTTTTGATTTGTCTGCAAAGTTATTGGATGCTATTTTCAATAATGGTAAAATTGCCTAGAAATATATTATTAGAGCAAAAATGTATGTAATAAATAGAAATGTATTATTTTTACAATTCATTCATTAACATTATTCATAGAAATTAAAACAGCATGAATCCAATATATATATATATATATTGTATGTTCTTAAAATTATATTGTACATACAAAAAAAAAGGACAAAATATTTTTAATAATGCAATACTTTTTAAAAAAGTATGTATTAAAAAATCTTCAACTAACCTTTGTTAACAAAATTGGTGCTACAGTATTTACAAAAAATGTTTCTGTAAGCTGTTCCTCTTTTACAAGACCAAGCCTTGTAAATTTTGAACTGATTCCGGCATTATTAAATAGAACATTTAATCCTGCATTGCCTACCTTTTCGGCCACGACTTTTATTATTTTATCGTAATCTTTTGTATTGGCTAAATCTTGAAACAAAAAGAAGAAAATAGAAATGTACGTTAAAAACTACAAAATTTAATCTGAGGCATCCCATACATATATTAAATCTAATGATTTCATAAATTACCTTGTACTATGTACATACATGTATATCTCTTTTACTACAACGCGTTTGTAGTGAATATTTCATTTTTATACTATAGTAACTACTCTTTGGCTCTGGTCAATAGATTTGTATGTATTTTCCAGACTACAGCTGCGTACATTCTCTACTTTCGTACTATTTGTGTTAACTATTTATATTTAGCTTAAAATTATTAAATTGATGGTTTACAGATTTCTTTAATCCAATTTATATACGGCAAATGTAATAGATATTGGTAAGTCACATAATTTCTTTACATCATTTTTTTTTATTAGTTTCTTATATTCATGACATTTCATCGCATTCATGAAATCGTCAACTTGAAAATTTGTAACGTAAAGTACTATTACACTAACATCAATATTTCTTATCATTAAGATATCATCTTACGATTACATCTTTTGATTACAAAATATAAATATAATTTTATAAAATGGTATATACAATGGCACATTATTTCATAAAGGATTTCATATTGTTTCGTTATTTAAAAAATCTGTATTTCCTCGTCTATAATTTGTTTCGTTAATTAAAATGGTATGGTTTTTCTAATTTTTTTTTAATTTTTATGAATTCATTTTATGCACCTACCGACTTTATAATGCAAAATTTTATTTTTTCTCTTTCCATATCTAAGAAATGAGATCATTCGTAAAAATTGTTTCGAAATCGATATTTCTTTTTTATACATGTAGATAATTTTTTTATTATATGAATTCAACAAATATTTCGTATTCTGGCTGCCAAGGCGAAAAAAATTTTATATATAAC